TTTTTCTTTTTTTCCAGGCTGATATAGGGCTTCCTTATCCACAGAGAGTTGTTCAATTACCTGAGATTGTATGGGACCAGTATACCCATAGCCTTGGGAACTTTGAAAGAGAATTTAAAAATCGTAAAAGACATACTAGGAGAGTTAAGCTAGTTTTTGATAAAGGTAAGAAACTACATGATAAGAATTTAAGTAGAGAAATATCTGACAATGTCTTGCTGTAATAATTCTGTACATGGTCTTGTGTTTAGTAGGTTTACCTGCTAGACCAAAAAGTCCTTCAGATCCTAAGAAGGATGGAGAGTCCCTTTCATATTCTATGTTGCCTTTGAGTGATGGTCCAGAAGGCTCAAACAGTCGTCCTCAGGTAAACAATATGAAATATTGGAGTAGGGAAATTTAAATTGTAAAATGTAAATTTACAATGTAAATTGTAAAATTATAAATTAAAAAAATTTAAATTTAAAATGTTTTTACATTTTGCTGGTTCATGTTCTTAAAATTAATGCAGTCTTTTACTGTAAGATATTGAGGACATAAACTTTGAAGTTAAGAGAAACCTGGGTTGGAATCCCAACTTACTAGCTGTGGAACTCTAGACTGGTTTATGTTAAAGTCTTCAAGCTGCAGTTGCCTTTTATATAAAATGTAATTAATATTATCTATGCTGTAGAGTTGTTGTGAGGATTGAATGGGTAGTACATGTAATGTGCCCAGTACAGTGTCTGACATATAGTATTACTCTAAAAATAACTCTGTGTGTGTAGTGGGATGTGACCAGGATTTGAGTCCTGATCTTGCACTATTAGTTAGATGAACCTCAAAAGATGTGTTATTTTTCCATTCTGAACCTACATTTCCTTTTTTAAAAGTGAAGTCACAGTACTATCATCTATATCACAGGATTGCTAGCAATATAAAACCGAATGAAATAAAAGAATGTGATAGCATTTTGTAAACAGTAAAAAAATTATACATTAAATAATAAATTTAGTAAATATTTTCAAATTCAGAAAAAAATTCCACAATTTGTGTACTATTTGGCTATATTAAAGGGCAATCTTTGTTATTTTCTCTTTGACAAAAGTCTTGTTTTATATGCAGATGATAAGGGGACGCCTATGTGATGATACCAAACCCGAAACATTTAACCAACTGTGGACTGTTGAAGAACAGGTAATAGATATTTATAAGTTGTGTAGGTTAAAAAAAAAAAGTAAACTGTTAACATTAGAATCAGTATTATGAGTGGAGCGTATGTTGTATGTGATCCCTCTTACCCGTGGGTTTAAAATATTTAGACTTATTTTTGTACACCTTTTTGTATACTTCAAGAAATTTAGATTTTCAGAATATTATGAACTCCTGTTTGGGGATAATTTTTAAAGAAGGAACCTGGGTTTTGAGAGAGGGATAGAAATGGATGGTATAAAGTAGATGTTTTTCTAAGGTAGCTTTGGGAGAGAGAAAAACCTGAGGCCAATAAAGCTGAGCCTCAAAGTGCATTCTTATTTTTGTTGTGGAGGGGAGCTAAGGAAGCCAGATCAGAGTGTTCTGTTGCATTTTGGCATACAGCTAAGATTGTTTTTTGGTATATGACTAGGATTTTTGGGGGTGAAGTTTGAGACATAGCTCTGTCTCATGTGGGTATTAACCCCACAGCTATAATAAATTTAGCAGTTTATGAAACACTTTAGGAAACCTTTATTTATTTCAGGCATCCAGGTTTTTCTGCACCTTTAGGACTATGGGAGGATTTAGGAGATAGGAGATAGAGCAGAATATTAAAATCAAATATTTGAATGGAGGACCACACAAAAGAAGGAAAACTCTCTTTTATTAGTCTGAATTCAAATGAATTTACACATGTTTTTGTGAAAACTAGGGGAAAGCCTGACATATTCTAGCAAGAGGAGATAGTGGAAATCACAAAGATGTGTCAAATACCAATTTACTTATTTATTTTCTGTTTTCTTGTACTATCTTTTTACTTAAGTGAATAGAAACTCTTTATAAGGCCTTTTATAGGTTTATCCTTTAATCTCATTTTTCCCTGGGAAGTCTTAGGGTTCCTAACTAGAAATTTTTCCTTGATGAGTATTTCTAGTAATGTAACTTTCAAAGTTGGGAAGGGAGTGTTATACTTTGCAATGAAATGCGAATGTATTTATTTAGAAATTCAGTATTTTTAATTGAATATTTATTTTCTTAAACTTGGTCTTGGGTTTGGCCTTTTATAGGTTTATCCTTTAATCTCATTTTTCCCTGGGAAGTCTTAGGGTTCCTAACTAGAAATTTTTCCTTGATGAGTATTTCTAGTAAT